AGGGTTTAGGGTTTAGGGTTTAGACTTTCTCAATTTGGGTTTCGTTTGCGTCTTTGCAGAGCACGCAGGTAAGGACCCACTGAACCTCAAAAACCTTGGTATGCTGAGGCTTCAAAAGCTGTGTGACGTGAGGCCCCAATCATGTTGATGATGCTGGCTGAAAAGAATCAAGGAGGGAAGCCTCAAGAACGCGGCCGAGAATCGGCTAACGGTAGGCTTGGCTAACACTACAAAGCGTCGTGTCTCCCCCAATGACAGATGATCAAGGCCAACGGAAGTTGTTTTGTCCAGATTCTGCGGGTGGAACAGAGTAAGAGAGATCTGCTTCACAGCAATGTCAGATCAGGTTCAAACAAAAGCTTCTTCCCCTGACCTTTTGGGATGTTCAGCGACCGCAAGAACAAGAAAAAGACACAAGTTGGTGGGTCAAACTTGACCACCTTGTGCGATGAAGCTCCAAGAAGTCACCAACAACACATCCAAACCTTCAGAACATGTAGTCGGAACCCCGAAAGTCCTTAACACCTGCACGACAGCTCAGGAGAATACTCCAAGCCTTTGGCCACACCCTAAACCGTAAACTCCCTAAACCCTAAACCCCTAAACCCTAAACCCCAAAGCCCCCAAGGTGAGAAACGAGGACTTAACACTGATGATAACGCGAGCTCCATCACTGTGAGCGTCATTGGGTCCTAGTTTCTCACCCTGGGGGAGGAAACGTTGTTTTTCTCGTCCTTTCTGAGCATCCAACAGACCCCCAAATTCAGCGGCGGATCTTTTTTTTTTTTAAACGGCTTTTCACTTCATACTCAACACTCCAGTATGTAAGGTCTCCTTGACGAGGTAGTGGTGTTAAATATGACCGAGTTGCGATGAATGATGGTCTAATTTTATTTGTGCTTGACTTAGGCTTCAGGGTTCGCACAAGAATCATATCATAGGCGTCCCAAGATTGGGGATGTTACAGGGCCACTTTGAGAGGTTAGGTTTGAATGCTTCGTGAGAGAACCTAAAGGCTAATAGTCCCCCTTAAGTAGATAGAATGTGGGATTTATGGGGATCTTATTCTAATGTACCCAAAGCCATATTTTTCTACTCAAGGGGGATTATAGACCCTAAACCCTAAAAACTAAATAGTAGACTAAAAACTAAATAGTAGTTTCCATTTTCATTATCCCTATATAACCCCAATATAACCCTAGTATTCTATCTACCTAAGGGCGACCTTACCCTAAACCCTAAACCCTAAACCTTAAACCCTAAACCCTATTCTATCTACTTGAGGGGGACTATAGGGTGTAGAGCTTTTGACCGCGCCAGTCCTCGTCAGGCTCACGACGTCGGAGATGCATTGTCTTGCTGGTGGTTAGTAGGAATGGAAGGCCCTAAATGGTTCTAAGTAGGGGTTACATGAGCCATAGTCTAAACTCCTTAAAGGGGGTTATATAGGGGACTATATAGGGAGTATTTTAGGTGTCATTAAGGGTAACACAGGAATTTCGACCATAGCTCACATGGGGATATACAGGGATAATGGAAAATAAAATGGAGACTTTCGACCATAGCTCACATGGGGATATACAGGGATACTGGAAAATAAAATGGAGACTATAGTATATTGAGGTTAGCTGTGAGCCCTAAACCTATGAAACCTGAGCAGTAGGCCAAGTACTAACCACCAGAACGGTACTAAACTGACTTAGGTCTGGTCTTGCGGTCTTGACCCGCCGCGGCCCCACTAGGGTCCATCAATTTAGCGTGGCTTTTGAAAAGTTGTGGGCCGCGCTTGGGCTCAACTTCTAGAACAATCAGCTAGTATTTTGGGTAAACCCTAAACCCTAAACCCTATACCCTAAACTCTAAACCCAAAGCCCTAAACCCCATAGCGCATGTGCAGTTCTGGGGTTGATTAATTGGGAAGAGTACCTGAGGCAAACTCCACATGCATGTCCAAAGGGCTGTGACAGGCTGACTCTTTGGAACGGTCCGCTGGGGTTTAGGGTTTAGGGTTTAGTGTTTAGGGTTGGGAGATGTGGCAACCTCTTGATTCAGAGTTTGTGTCTCCTGGCTTTCAGATATCGACGTTGAGGCATTTGTGTATTTGGGACGAATGAGTCTAGTCAGCTACATAAAATGTGCATTAAGGCTTTTCGTCAGAGCCTGGGTCTAAGTTTGGGATTTGCGTGTAGGGTTCAGGGGTCCCAAGTGACTGGGGCTACTTACATGACACTTTAGCAGCAGTCATGTGTGACGAAGGGCCACCAGGGGAAGACTACAGTATGATAGTCATGCATCTAGCATGAGGCCGCAAAGACATGTTGTACATGGAATGGATCTTGATCCGGAGTAGTGAAACCCCAGACAGGTGAGCTGGGAACCGAAGAGGCATCCTGCACCGTGGCAGGCGATGGATTATGAACAAACAAGTGAACACTGTGAAACGCAAGTGGGCGCGTCCTTCATCCGCTCCTTTTGAAAGACTCTCATATGAGCCATTGTCTAAACTCCTAGTATCCCCCTTAATAACTCCTATAGTAGTCCCCTATATAATCCCCTATATAACCCCGCTTTGAGGAATTTAGACTATAATACATATGCCGGAGGTTGCGCTGCCAAGCCCTTGTGGCAATTGTGTTGTTTTGCTGGTGTGCCTTCTGGCTTCCGTCTCGGTAGAGTTCGGGGGGCCCCTGTGCGGCAGACCCAAATGAGGGGGCTTCTTGAGGGACGCTAACTCCTGACTTTGAGTTGTGTTGCAATCTACAAGATAGAGGCACAAAATCGAATACCACAAAAAGTTAAAGTGCCTTCCAGCGGCTCTAGTAATCCCAGTGCTATACCCTGAGCCTGATCCCCAATACTCAGTCCAAGGTCGCGTGTGACGCCTCGACCCTCGCTGCATCGTTTTGCAGCTTTTACTGTTTGGGCCCCAGGGGTAGCTTTTTAAAGCGAGTTCCGGATTCACAGGGCCTGCCTCAAACAGTATGCAGGACCCTCATCGTATGGGACCCCAGACGGGAACCCGTACTTCACACATCTGCCGATTCAGACCATCCAAAAAACGCCCAAGGGGTCCACAAAATGGATCCCACTTCCGGGAATTTCCATCACACGGACGAGAGTCTGGACCCTGATCAGCAATCATCTGAACGCCTATGCTTAAAAAAGAAGTCCATGGCGCTGCCACGAGCATGCTGCAGCCTCGAAAGAGTAAGGCCAAAACCGACCTGAACGCTTGCAAAAATCAATCCTGAACCCAGACCTGAGACTGAGGGTGCGAAAGCTGTGGTTTTGAACCCTAAGCACTAAACAGGCACTCATGGCTGCTTCAACACAAAGCAACAACTTGCACCCCAAACCCCAAAACTGTGGGTCTGGGGCAAGCATCCCTTAAGCTTGAGCTCAGGCTTAAGGGTTTAGGGTTTAGGGTGGCATTTCTAATCCATTGCTCTGCATGGTCCTGCACATTGACTTTAATATCATTGGGTCATGCAGGTTTAAGAAACCCAGGGAGCCCAAGACCCCTCAAGTTAGGAATATAGGTTAATTCATACTAGGGACCCTAGTACCATGGAGGGTATCAACCGTTTCAAGCCTGAGAAGGCCATATTAGTTCAGAATCCTTCCAGAATAGCCCGGAAGAAGCAGTCATACAAGCTCAACAAACTTCTGCACATGTGTTTGCGGGTATCCTACTGGGCAATTGGAGGACCATGGTCGCAGCCTAATCCTAAATTCTAAGGACTTTAGGAGGGAGCCCT